GAAGGGCCAGGTTTACACCGCCTGTGTCCGAAGCAGTATGGTGTACGGCTGCGAGACATGGCCCACAAGGGTGGGGCACATCCAGCAGATGGAACGAGCAGAGATGAGAATGATCAGGTGGATGTGTGGGGTGTCTCTGGCTGACAGGCTGTCAAGCGAGGAGCTGAGGAGGAGAGTGGGAGTGGAGGGGATCGCCATCGTATTGAGGAGGCACAGGCTGAGGTGGTTTGGTCATGTGGAGAGAAAGGAGGATGTCAACTGGGTCAAGAGGTGTACCAACGTAATTGTGGGTGGGCCCACACCCGTCGGCCGACCGCGCAAGACTTGGCAGAGCTCCGTGTCAGATGACATGCGAATGCTTGGAGTCAATGCGAGGGATGCGACGGACAGGGCCAAGTGGAGGAGAGCCATAGGGAGAAAGCAGGCCAACCCAAAACAGACTGGACAACAGCCTTAAAACATGATGATGTACGGTACATGTACATGTACCTCCAGAGATAAGGTGCAGTATGTAGTTTAATTCAGTTCCCTTTTTTAATGCTAAATTAAACAAATCATTGTCTAACATTAAAAGCTGGTAGTGAAGGAAGCAATCATTATTCTGTAAAGTATTTTCAGTTCTGGCACTGAGGGCACAACAGACCGTTTGCACTGCAGTTCTCTTTAAGGTGTGTGCTTTTGTTCAACGGGGATACGCATGAGTAGACCTCTTGTGCATTCATTGTTAATGAATGAACATAACAAACCACACCTCCAAGCTGGCAGGTGAATGCAATCAACCTTTAACCCTAACCCTCCAGGGTATTTCGGCTAGAAACACAGCAACATTCAACACTTGTAAGTGACAAGCCTGCCAAGTGTAGCAAGATCCAACTGCAGGGCTCGAAAATTAATGAAAAAAAAACACTAGACAGCAGGTCTAGTAACCGAAGAATCTTACTGGACCTGAACTATTTTTACAAGACCTGTGTCATAAATAAGAAAAGAAAAAAAACATTTTGCACATGATGTACAATGTATGTGACAGGAAGACGAGTTGCCCGTTTCGTGTGTGCACTTGGCTACGGTAGTTCCCTGGAAAATTAGTCTAATTCTCTTGCAGGGGCACAGCAGTCCTTCATTTAAAGAAAATCCAGGAGAGCTATAAATGCTCTCCTCAAATCTTTGAGGAGAGCAAATGGATTTTACAAATGTAACTAAGGAGAGGGATTTGCTCTCCTTAAAATCCATGGATAAACGACGGTAAACATTGTTTTTGTTTTGTTTTGAATATCAGGATTTATTCAAGGGGCTGCATTATTATTAGTTTTGGCATAATAATATGCTCAAGTGGCTTAACTTCTTTCATTTTTGTAACTGTAAGTCAAGGTAAAATTTATATAAAAAAAAAACTAAATGGAGATTAATAAAAGGTTTGAATTCTGCTTACGCTTTCATTTTTTAATACAGTTGTCAGTTGGTTCATCACTTAATTATTCTTGGAAAATGGAGTTAATAAACGGCACATAAACATGATAAAGCAACTGAATATTTGTTTTCAGATTTGTTAAAATTATATGAAAATGTTCAGCCTGAACTATTTCCATTGCACTACGAAAGCTATACAAAAAGGGCCTCAAAAATGACAAAAACTTGCCTAAAGTGTTAACAAAAATATATGCCGTCGATAATCTTAAAAATAATGGAAAATGCAGGTCATTTATACCATATTCACAATGCTAGTTACGACGAGAAACTGGCTAACAATGTCTGAACTTTGCTTGGTACGAACATGCGATGATGCACTGTGTGTTGTGGACCGGCAGTGGGCCGGCATTAAGCTTCGTTTAACGGTATGTGATTTCGGTGAAACTCGCTGCATCGTTTCACTTCAAATACCAGTAGTATTTCCTCGAAATAAATTCATGAACACGGGAAATACATACACAGACAAGAAAGATCAAGTTCTGTGAGTATAAACTTGCAAAGATCGTCTTTCTCCATTGATGTTTTCTTGGCATTTTACTATGTCTATTCTGTGCCGTCCGGCCTGCATGCAACTGTACTGCAGTGTGCATGCACCGCGCACGACTATTGCATTGACCGGTTACCGCATTTCCATCTCGCCAGTGCGCGGCGCAGCGGGAATCAGTCACTGCTGCAATAGCACGTACAGGCCCACGTGTTTTCATACATCAAGCAGCTAGCTCTGTACGTACATGTACGTACTGGACGTGCAACTGGCATGACTGACGCGTTGGCCCAAGGCAGCTTTGTTGCGTTTCGGCACGGCCAGGGCTCGATTTACCCGGGTGCACGCATGCACCAGTGCATGTAGATTTTTGCTTGTGCACGTAGCTTTTTAACTGAGCATGCACGACGTGCATGTAACTTTTTTAGCCACCAAAATACTCATTTCATGCATATATTTACAAATGAGTGAGAATAAGAATAAAATTTGTTGAATACTTGACCAGATAGTGTACAAACGTGTTATTTCTTTTATATAAATCCATAAAATATTCCTCGCACCATGCTCGCACAGTCGCAGCAGATTCAGAGTACATGGTAAAATCGCGACGTACGTCCTGCAACCTCCTCCGATCATGCATGTGATTTACCACGTGATACATGCTGCAGATAATTTGGTATCGCACTGATGCTCCGGGCATTCCTTTTGTCCGGATCATAAGTGTGATTCCAAATTATTAGCTGCGTTTATCACGTGGTCTCGTTATTGGCCAATCGGACGCCGCCTATCATATGCGCCACATGAAGCAGACGGGTAGCTCGGAGGGCTCCGATAATTTTGCACGCAAATGACCCTGGGTACTGGTGTCACTTTTCAGGTTAAAATCTTATTTCGTTCGTATGGGTCTTCATCGACGGCAAATTTCGTCAAAATGACACATCCTGAACACGCTGGAAGGCAAATTTAGATTTCTATGTGAGTACTCAACATAATGTACAAAATTATGTATGGCGGATCAATTTTGCCATGTTCGAAATGCCACAAAAGCGTGGCGTTGTATACAACGCCACGTTCACGGGTTTAGGCTTGAGCATGATCGAGTAAAAAAGTACTGTTCTGTAGCGTCTGTAGAAAGTTCGATAAATCAAAGAGAAAGAATGCCTTCAGAGAAGCAGACGGGTGTAAGTCAAGTATGGTGCATGTGGGTTTTTCTTGGTGCATGTAGGTTTTTTGGTCTACATGCACCAGTGCATGTCAGGTTTTTTTGTAAATCGAGCCCTGGGCACCGGACAGACAGTTTTTTGGCCGGTAATTTTAATCAATCAAGTAATAATATGAACTCAAAGCACGCTATTAATCAGACCTCAACTGCTAGTATATTTGGGGGTCATTTTGTTTATATAGTGCAAGAAAAAAAACACTAGACAGCCGGACTAGTGCAGTCACACACAGCACTACACCGACGCTAAAATCACTAGACAAGGTCCACAGTCCAGTGGATATTTCGAGCCCTGAACTGTGGTCACCCAACTACAACTGTGGCATTGTTCAATGTGATTAGCTCTCATTGTTTCAGAACTGGCAGTTATTGCACTTGTTTTGATAGCTGAATGCATCAAAGTGCACCAGACATTTCCACCTGATGCACTGTGCTGCATCTGGCAGGGTTAGGGTTAATGAACTAAAGTTAAACATACAGGTTACTAATTAATTAATGTGAGTAGAGCATGCTGGTGCTAGTGCACATCACACAATAGCAATCAAGTACCCTGAGGTGTTCCCACTGGTTTGTGCTTATGGAGACCACAGAGACCAGCAGAACACACTGACTATAATACAACTGTGTAGTGTACACAGGTTCCATGTTCCTAACCTAGTAAAGGCAATTATCCTGTCCATTAAGTGGTAATGATAATATTGACAGTTGCTATTTGCATGGTCACTGGTCAATGGGATGCTATGTCCACTGATCAATAGCTGATGGTTGTCCATTGAGATATTGTGCATGTTGACTATTAAATCTAGCCAAATTCTACCTGGAATTCTCAGAGGGTTGGGGTTAACTGTACATGTACTGGTATGTGGGTGAAGGCTACCTGTATTAATAGTTCTAGCACCCCTCCCCCCTCACACACACACACACTTTTTTTGGGATTGGGGGGGGGCAAATCTTATATGGCCAAATTTGCCTTCTAGGTAATTATACTATCATGTAACAGGACGTGATGAGTGTTTCTTTGCTTTCAATATATTTTGCAAGTTGGATTGAGAGTATCATCATAAAACATTGTAGTCAATCATAGTTGGGCAACTCCTTATTGGCTACTGGAGACAACCCTGGGCAGGTTGTTTGCATTGCTTGCAATAAATACAAGAGCCTGCAACTGTATTCAATTCTACCCTGGTGACCACAGTCAGGCTTGGCAACAGATCAGCCTATCCATCCAAAGACTTGTTCAACTAGAACTATATTTGCACTCCGTGTTTGCACTTTAATATTAGTGTGCAGGCGCAAGTTACATCACGAATCAACCACTAGTAGACTAATGGTCCTCAGCAGAACTTGCTTATTATGTGCTGTGGTCACATGACCCCAACAGTTACTGGGCAATATCAAACAGCTGGATGCAAAACACTATGTGTATCACAAGAATTAGTATTCAGTGCTCAATGCAATATGCGCCAATATTTCTGGGCATGACCCCAGAGATGTTCTTTTATTTTTTCTCCTTTATGCACATGCATGATGTACTCTGAAGTCCCTTACTTTGGTTGCTTCAACACTTTTGCCTGATTTGCACCTGATACACCACATTATTACAGAAATGTTTTTGCGATATTTCAAGTGTATAACTGGAAAGTTTTGTTGGACTATTCGAGCTAGACAACTGTACAATTGTGGTGCAATGCAAGCATGCTTTATTTGACCTTTCCAGTGACCTTATCTATGGAGCGCCTAGTACTACAAAATAACACAAGTTATCTTGCATGTCATGGAATGCCTTTGATACAAATTGAATGGCAATGAATACTACAGTTCTATAGCTACCTTTTCCTTGGTGAATCACCACTGGTTCGTATCTGTCTCTCTGCAGTGCCTCCATCCAGGAACGAGTAGCCATGTTGAGTAGGAGCAGTATGTTGGGTTGATATGTGACGATTCTCACTGGAATGTCTACGCTCTACAAAGCACACCAAAAAAAAAAAGAAGACTTTTACTGTATTAAAATAGAGAATAGATACAATCAAGGGCTATCCCTAACAGTCCTGAATCCTTAAATTTTAATTCCATTTTGCACATCCCCTAGGGAGTTAGGGTTAAAGACATACTCCTTTTTTGACTGATTTTTTCTTCAATATTCTACCAAGAAAATGGTAAAAAGAAGTGGGTAAAATCAGTGCGTGCTTTATAGTGCGTGCTTAGCTTAGCGCATGTGTAGTTTGGCCTTCACACACTGCCCCACATACTGCTTTCCCTTGAAAATGCACTGTCTGCATGAAACTTTTTGTCTCTAGGTCACTTTTCCTGGGCAAAACTTCGCTGGTAAAAGTAACCAATGAACTTGGAAAAAGTTACCTGTTTGCATTGGACTTAAAATTGCAAAAGTAACCACAGCCTCGGTAAGTTTATACCCAAAAAATATCCAATGTGGATACGGCTTAAGAAGTCCTGTGAAACTAACCAACATGCCTCCATTAGAATACAAGCAGTTGGCAGTAGGGGCTTATATGTGGAAGGCTAGAAGAGAGAGATTTGAGTGGTAATTATCATTACAAACAATCACATTCTCCATTGTGTCATTACTTAAAAAGGTGAAATCACATCTCATGAGGTGCACAACAATTTGTTAGTCTAAAAACCATTCAGTTTGCATTCAATGAAAGGGGGAAAAGGGGAGAAAAAAAATAATGGCAATGATCATCAGCACAAAAAATGAATGAGCTGATTTTCGCCATTTTAACTTTCCTCTAAAAACTGACATTTTTTTGGTAAAAACAAAATCATAAGTTCACATGTAATCGAGACTCTAAAAATCAACAGACCTGTACCGGGTACATACGGTTTGATCAATCACGGTCATGATCAAGCCTGTTCGGTATGACGATATTTCACGATATTTCGATTAAATTTTCATATCGGAAATCGTATCGATCTCATAAAAATAAATCGGCACATCATGAAATTCGATATGCCGAAAAATTAATATCGATATTCTTTTGAGGTACCGCTTTTGTAACCAAAGTCAATCCCTTACAATTTCAAACCGTCGCTAAAGCGCTCCCATGAAAAACCGCAAACCACAAATTCACTGTTACCGCATTGTATGTACCACGAGGTCTTACCTATTCAGAGGTGGAACCAACTGACTAACGTCACGTGTATTGGATTTTGTGTCTTCCACGCGCTGCACGTGGTGCAGTACAAACAACACAATTTCACCCCACATACCAAGTGCCAAAATCGTAATCACGTGCGTAAAGTTAACCGAAGGGAAACAAAGTCTCTGACATTTCGCAAAGAAAATACGGTGCCTGTTTTGTTTTGACGGAAATGTGAAGTTGTACAGACAAAACACCACAAATACATGTGCTTGAATTGTAGATTACGACGTTGAGAAGTTAATGTTTCGTTTCGGCACGCGGCTAGAGCTAGAGGAGACCACGCCTAGCCCGCAAATTTTCTTTTTCCAGCACCAAACGACATCCGTGCTAACGCACATTAAGCGCCCTCTACGATACTTTTATGATACGTGGGCACTATATATTTATTAGTTTTCCACTTTTGAAGCGAGCAATGTGACAGCTCAGTCGATAATACATTGTGTTTTATACCGCAAGGTTGCGGGTTCGAATCACGGTATTGCATATGATTTTTTTTTATTATTATTTTCTAACCTGAGGCTTGGGAGGATTTTATTAAAAAGGGAAATAAAGCCCGAATTTCATATATTTATATTTTTGATTTTCTTCTCATGTTTTTTAGAAAAGTATAGTCCAAAACGCCATAGCGTATTGCAGATGTCGTACGCGTTTGGGAGAGAAAAAAAATCGCCGCTGGGCTGGGCCGACTCCGCGCAGGCGAACTAGATCAAATTTTCATGCACGTATTTTCCTGACTCGTTCCTTCTCTTCCGTGGTTGTGCCTGGGCACTTACACTTACTTAGTGCCAAAACTGTCCCAAACTTATGAAATCTGTTCATATTTTCAGCAACAAAAAATGTCGAAAACCAACTGTTCAGTCGTGCCTTTTATTTCGTTCACAGAACAAAAAATGCAGTGGATCGTGACTTCGGTCGTGTTTTTTTTTTGTTTTTTGTTATTCCATTGATTGTTCCATGAATGGAAAAATGACGTCATCACGATAATATCGAGATATCCGATATTTTTTTCATGATATGCCAATTTAAAAATAAATGGATATCGAACAGGCTTAGTCATGATTGCACAAATAATGTCCCCGTGAAAGTTCAGTGGGTGGGGATTAATACTGGTTGATCTATTCTTGACACATCTGGCAGCTGGCTCACCATGTTTTCGTGTGATTTCATAGATGATAGACGTGGTCAGGTTTCTGGCTGATGGAGTGTAGTTATTGGCGATAGAATCACTGACATGCCGGCTGTGTTTCTGCTCTTTAGTGGGTGCAGCTTGGGTGTAGGCCCCTGGCTGGACTATCTTGGGCTTCTCACTAAAGGCTGGCTACAACAGCAACAAGCAAGCAAGAATGCTTCAACTGTCAAATTCAATGGTAAAAAACTACAGTCCCCCACAAAATGAAGAAGAAAAAAAAAAAAAAAGCCAAATAGTTATTTTAGGTTTATCATCATGAAAATGCTGCATGGTTCAGAATTTGAAACTTAAATTTCTTAGAAAACCTGTGGCTCTGTCTGTGTCTATAATTAACCACTAAATATTATTTCAGAGTCTGAGTGATCATTGTCCATGCCAACGAAGCCAACATTAGATACAGTACCGATACACACCATGATATATATATCTCAAGTCACATTTCATTTCAGAGTTAAGGGTGTAATGATGCATGGAGTTGTTTACTGTTTCACAATGAACCTACAATACGAGAAATGCCAAATAAAGAAGCTGTACCTAGAAGTTTCACAGGGTTGCAAACATGGGTACAAATAAGGCTTGATGAAGGATTGTGCTTTTGAAATGATAAAACAAATTGATATTTAGGTGTACACTTTCGTTCATATGTCACAAACCGGTAGAACGTTCAATAATGTTTAAATCTAACATTTCTCATATTGGATTTCTTGTTGAATGTTACAGGTAATTCTGTACTACAGTGTGCACACACACATAATTTACCAGTTCTCACCAGCACTGAAAGGAAATTGTTAAAACTCCCACATGCCTGTGTACATAAAATCCAAAACACTTTTCCAGTCTACATGTACAAAATAAATAGCTACTGCTTCCACAAAAACACCGCATGCTACTGGGTATGTTGGTTGCTACAGGAATGAATGCAAGATTGACAGCTGAGGCAATTGCACACTATCATTGTCAGTAGTTTCCGTTCTGCTGCCTCTTCACAATGATGCTCAGTAAATGCTTCCGTCTGGGTCGATACCGAGGCTTTCCTGTCTCTTACCAAACCAAGCTGCTATGCAGGAGGTACAGTAGTGGGGGTTTTGTGTGTGTTATTGTCAACACAAACTACAGATGCATCTGACATAACAAAATACACCATTCAAAGACAAATAAAATATTGGGGATTGTAACGCAAATACCCCCAACCACTGTGACAAGACAACCCAACACCGGACCTGTACTTTGTCATTATTTTCATTTAGGCCCTTTGGGACCAGAATCTGATGTTTTGTTATAAAACCAATGTGGGTGAAGATCAAAGGATCCACTGGAGTAGAAGAGTGAACGGTGGATTAAACATGCCTAGGAATCAGACCAAAGGGGGATTAATTTGGGGTTTCCCTGGTTAATCCCTAATTAATCCCAAAATTAATCACTCTTTGTCTGTCTCTAATTTAATCTGCCCTTTGTTCATTCTTCTCCATTTCCTTTGATCTGCACCCACATTGGTCTGTCCCCATATTTACATGTAATCCCTCTTTTGTGTTTCTCCTCCCAACCCTGCATGCTGACGTGTCCCCTACATGTTTTTTTCTTGTACCACTGTGATTTTGCCTCTGAAGATCTTAAGATCGGAATATCAGGCCGCCTTCATTTGTTATTCAAATATATAACATTAACATGGATTTCTCAACATATTTCAATTCAATCTGAAAGAAATTTAGGTGTTTTTTTAATTGTAGTTGGTAAATCATATTCTTTAAATACATGTAGCTTAATTTTTTTTGGGGGGGGGTATTTTTGCATGCAAACACTTTTTTTTCCAATATAGAAGTGAAAATTTGAATTGTTAAAAATTGTCCAAAAGTGGCAAGAGGTTACCAAGGAATAAAGTAAAAATGTCAGGGGCAACTCTTCATTGACCATACGGTAATCCACTACCAATGAATTATATGTACACTCTACACATAGGCCTACCTTCTCATTCATTTCTATGTACCGGGTATACATTTCAACAAAAACTACATGCATTGATGGGTATTAATAAATATACTTAGCACAGAAATGAAACTGAATCACTGTGCTATTTTGGTCATCTTACCTGAGGTGCACTGAGTGGTGGTAGATGGGTGATGAAGTCTGGTCTGTGCTGAAGCTCAAACTCATTGGGCTGACAGATCTGGTGGCGAATACCCTAATAGAAGTCAGGGCAAAACACATCAATCTATTCAAAACCTTCTGAAATACTCTGTAATGTCAAATTAGGTTTTGCCCTTCACCGTCGTATAAACACTGTATACTCAGTGTGTTACCTCCCGAGTGAAAGTTGGAAAAAAATCACTCGGGTGGGACTCGAACCCACGACCTCCTGCTTTCTAGTGCAGACGTCTTACCACTCGCCCACCGAGCTAACGGGATCGACTGGCTGATTCGAATCTGATGTACATAGCAGCGGGTACCGCATAACGGCCCGTTTTGTACTAGTCATTTTGATTATTCAAACACTGACAAAGTTCATGTATGTAGCATAGGGAACGTCAACATTTTTTTTTGATTGATTGATTTCATTTATTGTCACCTATATACATAAATATACAATGAAATGCTCCGTGATTTCACGTGCCTAAAAACATTGTACATATACGAAACCGGAGACTTTTTTGGGGCGCGTTAGCTTAGACATTATAGTTATTAGCCTTGAAATAAGACAATAGATGTCAGAATAAAAAATTCAACGGTGACCCAACCCAATTGTACGCATGCGAATTGTATGTATGCTCTCAAGTGAGCGGTCAACTGGGCCAATTTCCCTGCATTGATTACTGCAGTTAGAATTCAACTTTAACAACCTTGAAAAAAATCAGCCCATATGATGTCATTATGACGTCATTTCAGATTTTGCATACTAGTACCACTATCTACCCTTTCATAAGTTTCATGACGATCGGACCTTCCCTTATGTGTGTTTTGAATAATTGCATTTTTGATGGCGTCATCATGAGGATACACACTTAAAAAAATTCTGTGCATATATATTTTACCAAACAAACGTAATACAAAAAAAATTTTGAATTTAGCATGTTGGTTCGTGAGATATGGCGATTAGCCTAAAAATTTCAGAAATATATGTAAAATCACATATGACATCATGATGACATCACCTCAATTTTCACCTATAACACATCCTGATCTACCTACCTATCAAGTTTCAACCTAATCGAACTTACAGTTTTCTAGATATAGGACTTTGAAATATGCACATGACGACTTCCAAAGTTACACAGAGATTAAGAAATGTTCATGCCCTTCCAATCCTCATGTGTCTGTGTTTCAAGTACAAAAAAAACTAGAGGTTGTAGGAACAACCACACGGTGTTGGGCCATTGTTGATGTTGACGTTGATTGTTGATATTGATGTTGATGTTAAAGTTGATTGTTCATTGTTGATGTTGATGTTGATGTTGAGGGTTGAGGGTTGAGGTTTGAAAAAAAGTGCGTGTAGTAATTATACTGAGGTTAGTTAAAAAGAGTCAGTTGAGGATCTGCGCGCGTGTGCTGCTGTACTGAAGTCAAATATGTGCTTGCGTTAAAATCGGAAGTTGTCTTATAACCGTGTGCAAAACACAGGTAAACGCTTAAAGTACATTGGTTCATCAAACAGCCGTTACATGTTGTTCAAAAGTTTACATAAAACAGTCGTAATACCAGAGACTGGGGAACTGGGGGAAACCCCTTTCGTACGCAATCATCCCCAATTTGCTTTACACACGCCATACAGTACAATGTAGATGTACATGTACATACATGGCATGCAATGAACGTTTCAAGAAGTAGCCGCTGTCAACTTCAAATTTCAAGGGGGCTGCAGGGCATCTTGTAATTAATTTATTGTAACAAAACCTTGGGAAGTTTTAGACCTATTATTAAAGTGTCATTTAAAGCACAAAAATTGATTATATCACCGACTGTTGATTTTTTAGCAATTTTCATAGGAAAAGAGGTCTTTTAATTGTAACTTCCGGTCTGATTATATAATCATGTTTTTTTTGCGCACAGGTGTTGCTTGTATTAGGGTCATCATTTATATGAACTTTGAAGCGATTACCGCAAATTTCGCCACAGACATCAACTGAAAATGCGTTTTGGACATTTTTTAACCTGCCATTTTTTAACGTTGGGCTGAAGCCCAACACCTAAAAAAGCTTTAAAAAAGCAACACACTAATGACCAAAACATCAACCTGTTAATGTATTCTCTGTCACCAGCACCACCTGTGTGTGTGCATGCAAACTTCACCTGCAGTAGGGTAGCTCATTGAAGAAACTGTGCAAACAGACGCTATGGTGATGAGTGTCACTCTTAAGCATTTGGTTCTAATCAATGAGTATTTAATAGCGGGGGAGCAAACAATTGAGGAGGTTATAGATTAACAAAATAAATTCAACTTCAGAAGCTCTGGCATGAGAATTCCAAGCAGGCACAGGTTCAAGTTACCCATTTTCATGCATTCATAGGGACGTGTGAGCCACTACGGCCATTTATTCTAGATCAAATACTGCCTACAAAACAAAGGAAAAGAGAACTTTAATTTGACCACAGATTTTCATCAAATGGTATACATACATGTATACTGGTATGTATCACTTATTTTGATGAATGTACCAGGGTGCAGTGAATTTTCAAACATTTAGAAATTTAAAGGAAATATACCACATTTGCTGTTGCTGACATTTTCAGAAATGATTGGATTTGGGGAGGTTAGTACTTTATATACAAATATTATTCAACTGACTTGTTTGAATTTTGCGTTCGCAGATGCTGGAAAAAGAAGAAAAAACAATCATGTCAGGGATTTGTAAGGTCAGGGAACCAGTCTAGCTGGCTTGTAGTTGTACCAGTTCATAGGCGCGTTATCGATTGCAAACAAAATTCGGACTAACTAAATATGGTAAATTGGGGGCAGTTTTTTGTTTAAATTCAGCTTTTTCCAACGCTGGTCAGCCGATCAGCATTGGGAATCGATACAAAATTACCACTTTTCCTTTCAATGACAGTCCACCAGGTGCCACTTACAGTCCTTTTGAGTAAAGTATTTCATAATAATTTGCTGGTTTTGTTTTTTGGTGTAGAATGTTTGAAAATTCCCTGAAAATTCACTGCACCCTGGTACATTCATCATGCAAACGTACATGTACAATGCATACTCCCTTTAAGTTCTAAAGAGCCTACAAGTGTAAAGGGATATTTCGGCAATATACAATATTAACAAATGTATTTATTTATTTAGCCAAAAAAGTACTGAATCATGTTGAGTCGGCCCTTTTTATGGTTTTCTCTTGTGGTACTCTGGTTTTTCTGTTTATCAAGTGAGCATGTGAGGTTTCACGTAAAGGTTAAATACGCATTCATAAATACCTCAGACAGTTTAGCTATTCCTATTGGTTGAGAGCCCGTCACGTGGCCGGTCTTAAACGGATGATAAAGACATGGCTAGCTGGTCTTAAACACTTTTCAAGTGTCACAATAAAATGTGGACTCCTAAAAATCCAGTGCCTCTTACCGTTTCATTGGTTGAACGTTCACAATCCTCACGTAGGCATGCGCAACACTACAAGCGAGTCAGAATTTTATAGTTCTTAATTCAAAACGCAACGCCCCAGTTGGTTCTGCGTGACATCGCGCAGAACATGTTACGCGCGCGTCAATCTCCATAAAAGGGTTGTTTACATCTTACTCGCCAGCTGAACACTCCATTATTTTGCTAGAGGGATGTTTCAAAAAGCATGAAGTGAACTTGTTGAACAAAATCGGGATTTTTTGAACGAATTATTTGATATTTTTTTACGGATAAGGTATTTATGAATGGGAATAAATATGTGCTCGGTCGGTATTTATCACTCTGTTTAATACCGCTTAGAGTCTGGGTGCTGATAATTACCCTCGCCTCCGGCTCGGGTAATTATCAGCACCCAGACTCTAAGCAGTATTAAACGAGTGATAAAAACCTCCGGAGCACACATTTATTCCCTTATTGAAACTATGTATTGCACTGGTTACCAGTGTGCTATTCTACTATGCATGCTCTTTACGAAGCCATCGTGGAACTAGCGCAAAGGGGCTAAGGGCACGCGCAAACATCGCCCCAGCAGCATGCAGCAGCTAAAGGAAAAGATGAGCCACAACAATGTTTTGCCAAGGAAATGTATGCATAACTTCATTACATTTTTGTATGACGTATAATAAACAACTACAACATGGCTTAGTTCAGGTGGATAATACCTCCCCTCAGTATTGGAAGTTGACAGACTACGGTAGTTCCTGATGCGAAGTCTGTCAGCTTCCAATACCTCAGCTCAGGGAACTAATATCGACTATCAACCCTCAAACCATGGGGTCTTTTTTATGTATTTTGTACTTTTACTTTTTTATTCGCTCCATGCATACCCATACATGACATGTACACATAGTTACCGGTGCGTAAAACAATCTTTTCACACACACTATGCACACAATGTACCGGTACATGTATGTAACACAAATATACAAATCAAAAGTACAGCAGTTAATTGTTTTATTTTGTTGTGTTTTATTTTGGTTTGTGTGATGTTTGTTCTGGCTTTCTTTTTCTGTTTAATTGTTTTGGGGGGTTCATTTCCACTTCTTGCTATCCGCTCCGTTCACAAGTACCCCCTCACCGGCAAGGAAAGCACAGTTGGGGATGACCGACTGACGCCATCTTGCCTGACTGCAATTTTGCCGCAATGCGCGGCCGTACCATGAACCACTGCGCGTACATACGGTAGTACAAATCCCCTGGTGTACGTGCGTCACACACAAGGAATGGTGCGCGTCAACCAGCTAAATGTCCCGCCCATGGGACGTCATTGCTAGGTAAAAGGGCGCCCTCTTTTATTAGCGCACGGAGCCCATACTTTCTGCAAGTACCAAAGTATTTGAACGAAATAATTAGTCTATAAATTATGTTTAATTTTGGTACAGAGGCCCATAAAGAAGGGCATTCATTTACATTCAAATTGCTTCATTTACATAACTTGTATTCTTGGGCAGCAAAATGTGAACATGAACGTGTACACATACCGGTACATGTACTATCTATTATTGCTCCATACCTTTCACAATCCTCAACACAAACAAGATTATGATTGCAGATGAACACTCAGGAGGATATAATAC